TTCTTTGAAATACAACTTACCATATGAAATCTCAAATTCCTTTATTGAATTAGAATAATAATCTGACAAATTATACGAGAAAGGTATTTAATTTTGAGCTAATGTATCATTTAATATTTTGAATATTTACCTTCAATTTCCTCTATTTAATAAATAAAGTTTTCAATTAGAATTTTTTTTAAAGATTTATAATTTTTAATAAAAGTATTCAAATATTACCTGCGGTAGCATTTCTTGGTTCAGGAAGTTTCTTGAAATTATAATTACTACTGGACTTTTTATCAATTAATGAAATGTGCATTGATGATTCAGAAGCAATTAATTTTCGTAATTCGCTATTTTGAAGCCTATTATGTTTAGTTATAACATCACCTAATTCTTTTATAAATGCTTCAATGTCTGGACGATTATCTGGAGATGCATCCCAACATTTTTTCATTATATTTACATATTCTATTGGTGTTCCTTTAATAATTTGAGGTCTTATTCCCATGACAATTGCCATAGCAAGGCTTAAATCATGACCTCTATCACTAAATGGTTGATTTCCGGATGAAATTTCCCACATAATCATAGCTAAACTATATATGTCTGCCTTATCAGTATATAACTGTCTTTCTAATACTTCTGGTGCGATATAGGGAAGATTACCCCAAATACCATCTAAAGGTTTATCAACCGGTCCACAAAATCCAAAATCGCCAATTTCCATGCAGAAAAGTCCGGATACTGTAAGTAAAATGTTTCCAGAGTGTAAATCTCTATGCACCCGTTTTGCGGAATGAATCACCTTTAATTTCAAAGCTAATAAATATACTGCATCTATTACCTCCTTCCAAGTAATTTCAGAATAATACTCTTTTAAATAAGTGTGTAAATCACACTCCATTCTACCCAAGACTAGAATATAATCTCGAGATATTGGATCTCGAGTTATTCCATAACACGTAACAAAGTTTTCTTCATGATGATCGATAGATAAATGAGATGTTACCTAATTAAATTAAATTAAATTACAAGAAAAATTAACGAATTATTTTTAATAAATTTAAAAAATATTTAAATACCTCTTCAAACCATCTGCCATCACTTTTACTTGAATTTTCTAACTTTTTAAGAATTATATCGTGAGCTAATTCAAGTCCATTTCTTTCTAATATTTGTTTTTCTGCGTTCCATGTTCCAAATGATCCTTGTTTCCAATATCCTTTATATATAGAGGCACAGCCACCTTTAGCAAAAAATTTAATACCTTCAATATTTTCATAAGGAATCCATTCAATAATTCTACTTGGACTTTTTGCTGTTAATTGACATGATTGAATAATTTGATCGATTTGATCATTTCCTGATGTCCAATCATTAAAATGTTGTTGCAAATAATTACGGATACAGTGTTCACAGTATTGACTAGCATATGTCATATTTTGACAAATTTCACATCTGCGTATTTTATCATTAATCCCATCCGGTTCATCAACTTTAATATATTCTTCATGTGATTTAAATAATTTACTCATGTGAATCTTTTCATAAATTGAAAGAGACTTGTCTTTAAGAATAGTTTCTCTTATGTATTCACTTTTCTTTTTTTTTGTATTCAGCTCATGAATATCAGGAAGTTTATACAAAACATTTTTTGTAGCTTCTAGTAATTTCTTTGGATCAACATAACAATAACTAAAAGACGAATCCTCAAACTCTTGAAATAAACTAATTATAAAAGAAATATCACATTCATTAAGTGATTTTTCATTTTGAATATATTGTGTCACAGATTTAATTCCTTCTTGATAATTTAATATTAATTCATCTAAATAAATTTTAAATGCTTTATTCAATACCTCGCACATTTTGTCTTTGTTGAT